TTTTCTATATCTGCTGTTTTTCATTCAATGTTTCACTGTTAGAAATATGTTTTATTTTATCTTAAGCTGTTTCTCTCAAGTATGTTTTAATTATATATTTTGCAGATTTTTCAATACTTTGCATATTAAATAATCATTGTATTTCATATTATTGTAACTTAAATAACCGAGATCTTAGAATATTTCTAATTGTTGAAGTAAAGTAAATTGTCATAGGATAATGTACATGTATAAGATTAAGTTTTTGCTTTATAAGAAATGTAACTCAAAGTATTTATTAATCTAAATTTGTGAATAAAATATTTTATTTCAGTTATTAATAAATTGTTCCATAAGTAATATTTTTCACATAATTTATATTGATTTGATATATTTGGTTTTAAATATTCAGATAAAGTTCTTGTACTAAATCATCAGTTTCATTTCAAAGCTATTTAAAAGTTCATTTTATAAGTATCGGTTGATTAAGGATTTTTATCATCGACCATGATCTCGATATCTTCTTGCATGCATAGCGAGTTATTGTTAAATTCCCCATATCATGTATTTGATAATTTAAATTACTGAATAATTATTGTAATTGTTTCGTGCATAGCTCAAAATGTATTACACCTAGAGTTATGAAACCTGACTGGAATGTTAGTCAGCATATGTAATTGTGAACCGTTGGTTTCGCTTGTGAATTTATCCAGTATTTGTACAGTCATTGCCCCTGACTTAGTAAAATCCGTTTTATTATGTTGTGCTACTTGTTCTTTTAGTGCTTGAGTTAGAATCAACCAACTTGACAGGAATATTGATAAACCTCACTGTGAAGCTATGCACCTGGGATTTTGCATGTGGATGTTTTGTCTTTTTTATTAGAGTTTCTGCCTTTGACATAGTACAAATTTGCAATTTTCAACTAGCTCATGCATAAGTCAAAACGTATTTGACCTTTGGCCTGAGAGTTTTCAAGAATATGTTGGTCAGCATGTGTTCTTATGCACCTTGGGGTTCGCCAGTGAATTTATTCAGTATTTGTAAAGTTATTGACCTTTACTAATGTAAGATTTTTAGTTTTCAACTTGTGGTGCATGTAGCCCCCAAAAGATTAACAAAACAGTGAAGTGTGGGGACACCCGTGTCCTATGGACACATTACTAGTTCTTTTTTTAATAATGGTGCCCTAGACCCCATGGAGTCCAAAATTATCACGACCAGGTTCTTCATAAAAGCTTTCCATATACCTAGATTGATAACAATACCTCATTCCAAACTTTAGTTATCGGCGGAAACCATGATGAGGCCCGATCGACCGATGAACGGACGGCCGGCCGTCTGACAAGCTGACTCCTATATATCCCCCACTAAACCTCGTTTGTTTAATTAACAAAACATATATTTCACTAAAATAAGTTAGCTATAGCTTTCATAGCTTAAATATACAAAGTTTATATAAACAAGATTGCATTTGAGAAAAATGCTATGCCACCGCATTAATACAACACTAAATAGTAGTGTTGGAACAGATTTTTTTTGTTTCTATACAATTTTGAAGATTGTCATAATGCATAGATCCCTGACCTATCTTATTCTTATTATCAGATTAGTGGTTAAATCTGTTGTTAACTCAATAAAAGATCAGAGTAGGAATATATCAATGCACTCGAGTCTAGTGAATTTGGTGGTGAAGGTCATATTTCACACAGCCTAAATTTCACGACTACATCAAAGAACAGTAAGACACTTTGTCTAAATCTAGGTCAGCTGAAATCAAAGTTCACTTTACGTCTTAATCTGTGCACATGGTTCAAATTTCATAGCTGTACATCCAAGGACAAGAAAGTAGGTCACATCATCAAAATCTAGGTCACCTGATATCAAAATTCAATTTTACAACTAAAACTGTGCACATGGTCAAAATTGCATTGCTGTACATCAAAGGACAAGAAAGTAGGTCACTGTCCCCTTGGGCAAGGCAAAATTTTGGACCCAAGGGTTTCATTCAAAACAATCTTGATACAGGTCCACCGAACAACATTTCAAGTCAAATATCTAAGCTGTAGCTTTCTCCCATTCAGAAAACATTTGTTTTATTTTCTGTTTTTACTACATGTATGTGTACATAATGAGAATCACTGCCCCCGGGCAGGGCCAATTTTGACAGCAGGGGAATAATTTGAACAACTTTGGAAGAGGACCTATAGATGATATTATATAGCAAACATCGAAGCTCTATGCCTTGTACCTTCAGATAAAAATATATTTTTTTATTTTTTTACTATATATATATATATATATATATATATATATATATATATATATATATATATATATATATATATATGTATATATATATTTACATATAAGGAAAGCCTATGGCCCCCTGGGCGGGGCTAATTTTGACACTAGAGGCAAAATTTGAACAACTTTGGTAGAGTTCCTATAGATGATATCATTTAAAAAATATTTAAGCTCTAATAAAGACAATAAGATTTTTTACTATAAGTATATATTGAAGATACATATAAGGAAAACTAATGACCCCCCGGCGGGCCGATTTTGACCCCCAGGGCTATAATTTGAATAGTATGGGTAGAGGTCTACCAGACAATGCCTTATGTAAAATATCTAAGCTCTATGCCTTTTGGGTCTTTGGAAGAAGGTATTTTAAGTTTTTACTATATGTACATATAGTGAAAAGCAATGACCCCGGGGCGGGGCCGATTTTGACCCCAGGGCTATAATTTGAACAATCTTGGTAGAGGTCTACCAGACAATGCTTTATGCAAAAAATCTAAGCTCTAGGCCTTTTCGGTCTTTACAAGAAGGTATTTTAAGTTTTTACTATATGTACATATAGTGAAAATCAATGACCCCCGGGGCGGGGCCGATTTTGACCCCAGGGCTATAATTTGAACAATCTTGGTAGAGGTCTACCAGACAATGCCTTATGCAAAATATCTAAGCTCTAGGCCTTTTGGGTCTTTACAAGAAGATTTTTTAAATTTATTCTTATAATTCCTTTTGGTTGCCACGGGGCGGGGCTGATTTTGACCCCAGGGCTATAATTTGAACAATCTTGGTAGAGGTCTACCAGACAATGCCTTATGCAAAAAATCTAAGCTCTAGGCCTTTTCGGTCTTTACAAGAAGGTTTTTTAAGTTTTTACTATATGTACATATAGTGAAAATCAATGACCCCCGGGGCGGGGCCGATTTTGACCCCAGGGCTATAATTTGAACAATCTTGGTAGAGGTCTACCAGACAATGCCTTATGCAAAATATCTAAGCTCTAGGCCTTTTGGGTCTTTACAAGAAGATTTTTTAAATTTATTCTTATAATTCCTTTTGGTTGCCATGGCAACCAGATTTCTGCATGGAATGAAATTCTTTGAACAACTTTGGAACCCCTTCACCCAAGGATCAATCCTGCCAAGTTTGGTTGAAATTGGACTAGTGGTTTTTCACAAGAAGATTTTTTAAGTTCACTATATAATCTATATAACACACACACACACACACACAAACAAACACACACACACACACACACACACACACACACACACACACACACACACACACACACACAGGTGAATCGCTATATGCCACCGCATCGCAGATGCATGCCACCGCATCGCAGATGCTGCGGTGGCATAAAAATAACAATTAGAAAGAGTAAACGTCTGATTTGAAAACAATGCCTGAAACTGATAGTGCTCACCTTAGTAGTGATTACCATTAGGCAAAATGTCAGTGTCGGTTAATGTCAGTATTATAATCTGACAACCAAAATGTTTTCTCGTACTTTATATTAATATTGCCATATTTTGCTTCAAGATCATTGATTTCATTACATTTACTTTTGAGAATTGAACAGATGAAACTTGTACAAGTGGACATGATTTTCATGATATCAGAATGTTGAAGAAAATTAGCCATTCTACATATAGACTTGAAACTTAGATAAGGACATAGGTGAATGGTAAGATCAACAAATATGATAAACAAGATCAACAAGGAAAGGCGGCGTTCAATAAACGCAACCCCCATACGTCCCAGACACAAGAACCTGTGGCAAAGAGCCCAGGTGGACACCAATCAAAAACAGGACAGGGCACAAGACAGAACACAGACATGTCAATCACTGAAATGATAAATAATTTGTAACTGACAAGGAACCTAAAGAAATAAATAAATGATTGAATAATAGGTAATAATTTCTAACTGATAAAACAAATAAATGATTGAATAAAAGGCCCATAAAGTCACAGGGCACAGGGGAAGGGGACAGGAGACCCGCGGAAGAGGGGGGTAAATTAAAGAAATAAAACTAGGGGCAAAGGGGGAGATACTTACCTTGGACGAAAATCAACAAGGGACACAAGCAAAAGTGTCACCAAAACAGTATGAAACAACATAGACATACATCTGAGGAACACAGAGGGGCGCCGCCTTTGAACGGTCAACAGCACATGTACTGCTGGGGAGTGTTAACCGGTTAATGGTGCACCAAACCTCACTTTTAGCCCCACCATGTTCCTATAAACGAGACAGTGTAAGAAAGTATTCCCTGCAAAGTGAAGGTCACATACAATTCAAAGAGAAATAAAAAAAAATGTTGTGATAGCTGCGTCCAGTAGAAAATAATCTGTTTGAGATTAAGTTAGTGGGAACCTGGGGTCAGTATTCTACAAATTATTGGTGGGGGTCATTTCCTTCATATTGCGTCAGTTTTTTGTAGAAAAAGGGTCAACATTTCTATAGAATAATAACCGAGGGGTCATTCGTCTATGGGGGTCACTTTACTTATTTACACCGACAGTATGTCATATTAACCGAGGCAAAATAACATTGTTTCGGAACATCCCGTGTGATAGAATTGAGTGTAATATTTATGCGAAGCTTTTATTATATATGCATCTAAGACCTTAGAATTGCTAAAGATAAAATATTTTTTAACGTTAATTCTGTAGAATACCTTTTATAAATACAACATGTATATAAATTGGCCTCACCTTATATGCAGCGTCTTCCATCAATTGTTTAGCGGGATCAGTCCATATAGCAGGTACACTCAAAACCCAGTGTATGTCTTCATTAGATATGTCCGTTGTTTGTTCTAACTTATTAAGCAGGTAGTCTTTTATATATTTAATAGCAGAACCAATTACGTCAATAGCTTTCATCTTTCTACCTTTGTCATCTTCAATCTCTGTGTTCCGTGTTATCTGTTGACAGACCAAAGTAAATCCCAGAAAACCGGAAGAATAGCTATTTAAAACTGTTACAAGTTCAAACGATGTGAGCCTTAAATAAACAAGTGGGCCTAATGGCCTTATATCGCGCGATTGGTTATGAAGACTCAATCCCATTTTTTTCTGACTGTGCGACGTAGTTTTTGACCAAGGATGAGCTATATTGAACTTGACTAAGAAATCACCAAACAAAACAATTCTTTTTTATATTTTGATCAAAGTTTTAGCCTCTAAAGTGTTAACAAGTTTTTTTTATATATTTGGACTAGTTTTTGACAACAGGTGATCCATATTTAAACTTGGCCAAGAAATCATCATAACAATTTTTAAGACAATTTTAATCAAAACAGTAGCTTCTAGGGAGTTTACAAGGTTTTTTTTTCCATAATTTGGCAGTGTGACATATGTTTTGACCCAAGGTTGTCCATATTCGAACTTGCTAAAGAAATCATCAAAACAACCTTTCTGACCGATTTCGATTAAAATAAGATCAAACAGTAGCTACAAAAGTGATTACAACGTTATTATATTTGGCCTTTGTGACCTAGTTTTTGACCTCAGGTAGACCATATTCTATCTTGACCTAGGAATTATCCAAACAATCTTTCTGATCAATTTTTATGATATTTTTGTCAAAACAGTAGCCTCAAGAGTTTAAGGTTTTCCATATTTGGCCCAAAGTGACCAAACTCAATCATCAAAATAAAATTCCTGACCAATTTACAAGATACTTGGATCAAAACAATAGGTTCTAGAATATTAACAAGGTTTTCCTTTTTTGGGGGCTGTGTGACTTAGTCCTAAACCCTGATTGACCAACCTTACAACGTGACCTTGAAATCACAAGATCAACCTTTTTAAATAATTTCAAGAATATATGGACGGAAACAAAAGCCTCAAGAGGGTTTACAAGGCATATTTGTGTGACCTAGCTTTTGACCCTAGGTGACCCACTTAATAATTATAAAAAAAATACTTTCTCACCAATTGTCAGGATATTCATTTAAAGTGTTTACAAGGGTTTTAATATTAGGACTGTATGACCTAGTGGTCCATATTTAAACATCTAGAAATCATCATTGCAATTGTTCTTGGATGCTTTGATCAAAACAGTAGCCACAAGAGTGTTAACAAGATTTTCCATATTGGTGCTATGTGACCCAAGTGACCCAAATTCAAACCTGACCTAGAAATCCTCAATGTAATCACACGACAAATTTCCAGTATATTTGGAATAAAGCTGTAGCCCCTAGATTGTTTACAAGGATTTTCTATATTTGGGCTTTTTGGCCTAGGTTTTTATACCAGGTAACCCATATTTAAACTTGACTTAGAAATTATTAAAAAAAATCCTTCCTGACCAATGTTCAAGATTTTTGGATCAAAACAGTAGCCACTAGAGTATTCATACTATTTTGTCCACCTTTAGCTCCTCTAACCTAAATTTTGACCCGAGATAACCCATATTCGAATTTGACCATATTTCATTCAGAAAAACAATCCCCTAACGTTTGATTGTGACCCAATCAAAACTGGGACTACTAGAGTGTTAACAACCTAAATATTGACGACGCATGACGATGGACATAGACCAATCAGCATACCTAAATAGGAAAACTTTATGTATATCTTTGTTTTTGCAAGTTTTCAATTTAATCAAATCAGGTCTTAGCTGTTCATATTGACATCGCAGAAAATTTAAAGTTGAATAATGATAAAACTAACATCATTGAAATTGTTGTTATTGTTTTTAGTATTTGCTTTTTTTCGTACATAGATCTAGTGAATTTATATTTGATAATTTCACAATTGAATTATTAAATTTAATTTCCAAATTAGCCGGACTTAATCTGGATGTGGATGAAATGAATGTATAATGAATATGTAGAAATATTGTCAGAAACACACGGCCTTGTGAGTACAATGTGTCCGATCAAGAGAAGCACATACCATTTTTAAAACGTAAATTTGTGATGTCATAATTTGTAATGAATGAGAGCGCATGTCGTAACGCGGTAAAATATCAGTAAAAATTACAAAGCACTGAAATTTTAAAATCTACTAAAATTAAATATTTGGAAATAAAATGTTCGTTTTGCATGTATTATAAATTATGTTTCACTCGTGGACACTAAATCTTATATTTTGACTCGTGAAAATATTTAATCTGGTGTTCTCTCTGTAAAAAATATTTTAATCAGCAAAAGAATCCAGTTTTTTAAATCACTAATTAATATGATAACAATAAGATTCATGTAAGTTATAATGTAATATAAACACGGAGTTTCTAAGTAAATTTTATGTTACGAATGCTTTACTTAACAGTAACCTCGTTACATTATTCATTTTCATTTGTATAAAGATCTAGATTCTTTACGTAGTAAATATAAATAACGTTATGTACTGTAATGTATATTTCTTTTCACGTTGGGTTTAACACCAATCTCTATTTTTGTATATTTAAATACAATACATTTTAGTACATATATTCGATAGCTTGATTTTCACATTGCAATAAAATTAATCATTTTTTACAAAAATATATTAAATATCTATTAGTAAAAGTAACTTTACTTACATCTTTTCGTGATAATCTCATCATAAAGTTTGTGAAGAAATACCATTTGTTGTGTTTAAGTTTGTCAACTAATTCTGCATATTTTTCCTCTGCAAAAAATCCAAAGCTATGGAACTTTTTGTTCTCGTCGAATAACACGACAGAACGACTTTTGATTGATCCCAAATAAGGATCGCCAAATGATATGCCAGGAAGATACATACGCAAATCACCTTTTTCGATAGCATGTCGCAAAGCGAAAACGTAACCGCTCCATTCATTGCCAACTTCAATAGCAACCACAAACATCTCATCTCTGTTTTGCTGAACAAAACCATGGTAAGTGTCATCAGCTGTTATCCTCTGCCTTGAATATATGTAAAAAAATTATGTAGCATTATAGTTATGGCAAGTTAAAAAACTGCTTACATGCATTGCGTAAAGTCATTTACTTTCATTATATATATCACTAGGAATTACACCAAATATATAATGTTTAATCTGATTGATGATGCATCTATACTAAGTCATTATTGTGAAGTATAGGAATAAACGACGTCTAAACAAATAGGATGGGTTCATAATAAATTTTTAAATGTATAAATGACTATATGTAATCAGCTTTGTATGGTAAAATTAGTTGTTTTAATTTGTTACAATAAGGCAAGCCATTTTATATATATATATATTCATTTTGTTAACCGTCAACTAACTCAGAATTATTTATGAAATTCTACTTGTACATGTCGATGTTGGATGATTATCTTTAGCCCTTCGCAGATTGTGCATGAGTGAGATGTGTGATAATACTATGTCCAATTGAATAGCAACAGACCGCATCGCAAAAAGGTGTATTGTTATTTTCATTATGAGATTATAAACACATAAAACAAAACATAAATCATAACAAACATTTCAATATACAAATTAAAGATGTTGTTCGAAATAAAAAAGCCATATTCTTAATTCAAGAAATTAAATGTCAAAGCAATATGAATGTTTGCATACAAAAACTATCATTATCGTATAAGAGTTATCATGTTAGAATCTCAAACAACACAATGAACGAACTGGTTTTTTCCCTTCGATACACCTCAGGAGCCAATTTCCGTGATTGCCTCAAATATTAACAATAATCCCTTAAAGATCCTGTTAGTTGTAATTAAGGTTGTTGTCACAATATGGACTACGGTGGAACACAAACTGATCACAACTACCATGCAAAACAAATCACAACTCAGTACAAACTATTTAACATTTTATTTACAAAAATAAATGATTATTTATAATGAAAGTTCATGATATAAATTAATGAAAAAAATAAATAAAAGTTCCGTGTCACGTTTCTAATGTTCTGTCGAAAAGCACTTTTTTCCGGTGGCGTTACTCAAAACAAAAATTCACTGATGCTCGAGATGTGACTCATCCAAAGCAGAAAGATCGATTATGTACTGTCTACAGAGTGTAGATCCAAGACTGTGTCGCTACGTCACAATATCCACTATCCTCGCTATGTTGAACATATGCGTGGTGAATCTTCCAAGTAGAAGCTACAAACTATTAAAACATGGTAAATATCCATGGTACACAAATATAAGGGTATAAGTTTGTCCCTTAGCAATAGCCGGATCTTTGTCGGATTTCTATAAACAAAGCTTCTAAAATATATAATGTCCCTTATGGAACGCCATACACACTGTTATAATAAATTCAACGTTGATTATATATCGCAGCACGTTGTAAGGTATAAAACATGAAGCCTGACCGGATGCCACATCAATATTGACGAATTTCTTTCTTGAATCGAATCCATAATATTTCGTACAAAAAAAATAATGATGATGATGTGATATGAAAATAGCTTAAAGAAATAAGAATGATATATATATATATATATATATATATATATATATATATATATATGAATATTGGTAATGTGTTTATTATCATTGATAGTTGTTGTTTATGTATTGAAGGCCGTTAACGCCTTGAGTGCACGTTATTTTATCTTGCATATGTTTCAGGTATATTTACTAAAATAAGTTCTCATATTCTTGTTTAATACAATAAAAGTCATTTATAATTTAGTCTTCTGCAGATGTTTTATATATAACTTAAAGAAATAAGAATGATATATATATTCATATATATATATATATTCTTATTTCTTTAAGTTATATATAAAACATCTGCAGAAGACTAAATTATAAATGACTTTTATTGTATTAAACAAGAATATGAGAACTTATTTTAGTAAATATACCTGAAACATATGCAAGATAAAATAACGTGCACTCAAGGCGTTAACGGCCTTCAATACATAAACAACAACTATCAATGATAATAAACACATTACCAATATTCAAGTAATGAATGAAACACTAGAGTCATAAATATACAAAAGACGAAAAATTAAAGAACGAAAACTTACTGTCAAAATGCAAAATAAGATTTACATGTATATAAAAACAAATTTGAAATAAAAAAAAGTTAACTGAATTACGATCTTCTGAAATAACAAACATTTACTAAATAAAACAACAAGAAAAGAAAAATTTACCTTGCGCAAGCTTAAAAAAAATTACACAACAAGAATAAATATGTCTGTCATAATGACCTTGTTCGTCTGTACACATCTATATGCGAGTCCAAAAGAAGATTTAAAATTCGTTCAATATATAGGCATTGTTACTCTGAGTGGAAAGCATAAAATAAATTTCCGTTATATCAAATTTATTGAACATAAAATAAATTTGCACTTTATCATAAAAATCTCACTTTTTTATTACTAGACCGAATTTTATGAAATATATATCAAAATGCTTGGAATGATACCAAGAAAGTTCAGCAATAAATAAAATTACTGATATGATCAATAAGTTATTTCACTCGATAACTCTGAAGTTTACAAAAATATGATACAATAATTTTCATTGGATTTAGTATTAAACTGAGGTTCGGCACTACAAAAATCAAAATACTGAAAGCACTTTTGAGCATTTACGCATTATGTAAAAATCAAAGTACTAAAAGCACTACTGGGCACCTACGAAATGGTTTACTTTGTGACAGTTGTTACCACACTTAAGTAAGATTTTTATATATGTATATACTTATGCATCAAAAAACAATTTTCAAACATCGGAATATATGTAAAATATGTGCTGCAAATATTTTTCAAAATTATATGTAATCATTAAAATATATTCATTTCTTATTTTAATAAAAATATTGTCACATTTTAGAAAATAATTTTTTATTAACTGTCTTTATTAACATGAAATAAATAAATCTTTATTTGAGCATTACATTAATTATATAAAACCATAAAAAACTGAGTTACAGGATCTTTAAAACTTTTAAAATAAACAGGTATTTATCTATAGCAATATACGAACAACATGATAAGACGTTTTACACAGCTTTGTATCAAATTTCAAATACTCAATTCATTATTGACAAGTAAGTTAGATAGCCAGGGATCATGGGCTCGAGCCCTTCTTTTGTAACGTCCATGTTTCTTCATTTGTCATCAGTATTTGTTGATTCAGTAAAGTGGACACGAAAATGATAAATATAAGTTCGCATTCAAGCTTAGATAATAATATTTAAACTAAACCAGACACAAAATAGTTATTTTCTGGTTAAACTTCCATTAATGACATTTCAACGTTCTACAAGTTTATGTTTACAACGGATAAGAAGTATATTGTTGAACATAACATGTAAATAGTAAACCAGTTAAATGAGGAATCGTATCGATTAAACATGACAGTCTTAAGGACGTGTATCTTTCTGCGATGTACGTTAAATGACTTTAAATGTGACTTTATAAAAACTGATTTGATTTTAAATGTGGGATTATTTTAATGTAACAACAGATTTTCACTATTAACCTTGAGCAAGTGTATCAAAGCTCTTCTGTGAAATCAACTCACTCACTGTTAAAGCTAACCATTGTTTTAAATTATAACGCTTGAAAATAATCACTCGTTTTAAAATAGGAAGAGAGAAAGCGGTAGCCTATGCTATTCGTGGACTTACTTATAATAAACGGAATTATCCTGCCAACAAACTGGAGTTCCTTTCTTTGAAGTAGGCTGTAGAGGAAATAATTTTGTTTTGCACACGACAGTACCGTCCATGAACAGGCTTAATCAAACTTAGCCTGCAACATTTTAAATTTCGCTGTGTTGGACTTTCTTTTGAGATTCTTATTTTCTCTTATTTATCGCCACACCAGGCCGTAAAAAAGTGCCCCGAACATTTTTATCAGAGTTGTTATAATTACGATTCTTAAAGATCGTTAAGCACGACATTATTGTTGTGTTTGTGTAATTTTAGTTCATTTTACTTAGTGCCGCCCAATGTTTTCTTGTTAAGGACACACGCATTCTTTTACTTGAGGACTATACGCCGCTTTTAATGGAATGACACTACTGTGTCGAATTGAAGGTTCTATGGTGACCGCTTAATTAACGCATCTGAGGATGTTTATAAATTCGAAATTTCACCGTTTCCGTGTTTAAATGTTAATTCTGCTGAAGCCAGTTCTACGTAGCGTGGAAAGGCTTGTTGTGAGGGATGTTGCACCTATTAATTATCCCTCAGGTACAGACTCAATCAAACCGAGTCTGCAACTCTCTTGTAATTTTGTTGTGATTAACGCTTCTGAGGGATCACTTTGTTTCCAGATTTATTTTAAATTTTAATCAAGCCGAGTCTGCAACATTTTTGATTATGCCGTGTTGGGCTTTCTTAAGGGATTCTTTTTTAAATCACACTTAGAGGATATGTTACCTGTTTGTAAACTTTGTATTTTGACGTCCCGTCTGTGATGTGCGAGCTTATGGGCCTATTATTCAATCATTTAATTGTTTACTTGGAGTTCTTTATCATTTGCTGATTATTTGTTCTTATATATGATTTTAGTGATTAACCTGTTCATGCTTTGCCCTGCACTGTTTTTGTTTGGGGTCCTCCTGGGCTCCTTGCCACTGGCTCTTGTTACTGGATCGTATGGGGGTTACGTACGTTGAACGCCGTATGTTCTTGTTGATCTTGTTTATCATATTTCATAACCTCTGGTCAATTTCAAAATTCCATTTTGTTTAGTTCCGCCCATTATTATCTCGTTCAAGGCACACGTTTTTTTTTCTTGGGGCCCATACGTTGCTTTTCATGGAATAACAAAAATGTGTCACATTGAAGGTTCCATTATAACCGCCGTATTGACACATCTGCGGATGTTTCTAAATTCAAAATTTCACTATTTTCACATTAAAATGTTAAATTCTGCTTAACCCGGTGCTACGGGCGTGGACGCTAATTTGAACACGACACGACCAGTCTCAATCAAATCGAGCCTGCAACATTTTTAATTTGACCACGTTTGACTTTTTGAGGGATTATCATGTGATAGACTCAGTACGTCAACAAAGTAACGGGAGTGACCTTATTTTTCCCGAATAGAGGTATTTTGTCTGCTTTTAACTTTGTCTTTTGACGTCTTATGTTGCTGGGTCGGGTGGGGGCTGTGTTCATTGAACGCCGCCTTTCCTTGATGATCTTGTTTATCATATTTTATGTGTACAATGCATTATTGTTGTGTATACATTTGAGATGATATATTAAGTTTCTTTTTGAGCAACATCTTCAATTATGACGTGTTGGGCTTTCTTTAGGGATTCTTATTTTCACTATTTTCTTGTATTTGGCCTTTTTCAACTTGGATTGTTCCAGTATTCATAATTGAATACTGTATAGTCACCCGTAGGATATGTTGCCTGCTTTTTAAATTTACCTTTTGACGTCTTGTCTGTGATATGCAGGATTCATAACCTCAGATTTCTAAATGTCGTTAAGATGTTTCTTAATTCAAAATTTCACCATTTTCGTGTTTAAATGTTGAATTCTGCTTAAGCCGGTGCTAGGGGCGTGGACAGTAACTTGCACTTTCAAGTACCGTCCATTAACAGGCTCAATCAAACCAAGCATGCAACATTTCACAAGTTTAGGGATTCTGTTTTTTTCTTTTTCATAACCTCTGATTCCCTTTCAAAATTCCATTTTATTTTGTTCTACCCATTGTTTTTGTCGTTTAGAGCACACGCTTTCTATAACTTGGGACCATACGTCGCTTTTCATGGAATGGCACGGAAGTGTCACGTTGAAGGTTCCATAATGACAGCCGTATGTACATTTGTAAACATCTGCGGATGTCTCTAGCTTCAAAATTTTGCCTTTTAATGTTGAAATAACGAGGTCTGCTTAAACCGGTGCTGGCGGACTTGCAGGTAGTTTGCAATTGACAGTACTGTCTATAAACAGGCTCAATCAAGACGAACCTGAGACATTTCATTTTGCTGTTTTGAACTTTCTTTAGGCATTCTTATTTTTTCTTTTTTATCACAACATCAGCGTTGTTTGTGCCATGTGGAGGCTGAAAATGGTCGCCGCGCGTACATTCAATTCAACACATTATTGTTGTGTTTGTGGTATTTTTAAGTTTCAACTATTTTGCTTTTTCTATTTGGATGGTTCAAATATTTCCACTTGAATAATGTTGAATCATCGTTAGGGTATATTGTCTGCTTTTTAACTTTATCGTTTGATGTCCTATTATACTATGCAGGCTCCATAACCTCTGATCCCCTTTCAAGTTGAATAGGCCAAATAGAAGAAAGTAAATATTACCACATAACATGTATACACAACAATAATAATGTTGTGTTGAATATTCCTCTTGCTTATTATGCCGATAATATGAAAATCGTTGAGTTATGATTAATTATAATATATATTATATGCAAATATTTGAATTATCATTTTGAATTTTTTTTGGTAACTTTTTTAAACCAGTATCAACCATGTTTCCAGAAAGATATGCATATCAAGACCAACATTATCTAAAATCGTCCTCATAAAATGACTGCAACAAAATACAAATGTTCTCGTAATAATTTTGACATTATAAATCAAAGCCGAGAACCAGACCATATTTCTACGACAGATGTAGCCGTAGAAAATATAACCGCTCCCTCCTCAGTGAAACGTCCATTTTTACCTCGCAGGATCAAACTCCTCGCACCGGTAACCACTGCCTTTACACTTATCTCGTGATGATGGCCTTATTACGTGATTGTGTCAAGATGGCTAATACGCCAAAGAAATCGTTGAAAAATTCTTTTAACGGTCATCAAAATTATTAATTACTTGATTGATTTCTTTTTTGAAAGCGGCCATTGTTTTGAAAATGAACGTTGCGATATCAAAAATGTTAAAACATATTTTCATAATATTTATGTTTCCAAAATTACTTTTGCGACGGAAGCGCCCTCTTGTTCGTTCAGAACTATGTCTCATTCGACGGCCACGATCGAAAAAAAGCTCAAACCGAATAATATCTTTAAAAGAGTGCCAGATTTAATCATATAAAGCACACACATAATGTCAAATGCTTTGAAAGAGTTTATGTTCTAGTTTAATTATAAAGAACGTTAGTTATCTGAATGATAAAATAAACATCGTATTATGTTTCTAGTTTAATTATAAAGAACGTTAGTTATCTGAATGATAAAATAAACATCGTATATACGAGAAAGCATCGTTATAGTTGTACTATTTTCTGCCAATCCATTTGTATGAATGAAAGCCTTGAGCAAAATCGTAGAACGACAAATCATGCATAGCATCGGAGTAATAATTTTAAATAAAGAGCAAAAATACCACTAAAACATAGAGGAATAACATTTATGTGGAAAATATGTGCTACAATATCTGTTTTGTAGGACTGAAGTTATTTTCAAAATAACATTTCCACCGCATAGTAGCACTCTTTTCATCAATGAGATTTTAGTATAGTTATTTCTGACCTAACTTATCGAGGATCAGCTCAATTTTCACTGCAGTATTAAATTGCTATGTAAAATGTGTTTACATATTCGATTAAATTTAATTATTTGATTTCATTTATTTGCAAGAAAGTGTTCATACGATTACATGTGTCAAAACATTTATAACCCGGGACATAAGATAACTTTTGTCTAAGTTGAAACGAATATCTAAAAGTAGCGTGAACTGTCACAGTGGTAATCGTGCGACCGATTTCAGATTACATAAATGTAAACAATAGGCCAATATGGAGATGGACTATTATCGAAATGAACTGAAAGAGAGCAATGTACCCTGGCTGTAAGACGCAACAGTCGTAGTATTGAGTTTCAAAGACGGTCTTTCACAGGCGGCACATTTCTTTATCATGAATAAACCATTTTTTAACGCGCGGAAAGAATGGGATGACCGACCACACACTTCTTTTCTATATTAATACGAATTTAAACATTGAAATCGAGAACTGCTTATTCCTTTGATGAAAATATTTATCAATTTTAACCGTCGATTAGCATTTCAAACACATAATTAGCAAACGAAAAGCATCGAAACGGGTATGCTTTTGTTTCTACAGGCAGCACTAAATCTGCCATACACTTCTATATAAAACACGATCTGTACACGTTTTTACTTAGATAATCAATTACTGATCATCTAGTAGACATGTTTCAAATAAAACATTTGAATAGAGAAAAAAAATCGAATTGACCATTTATTCACGTGATCGTTCAATTATAAACAGACTAATGTGATAAGTAGATAATACAACTATTCGAATGATATACTCTCCCTTAACAATTCTTACCTATTTTATAGTCTGCATAATATGTATAGACTGTTACTTCACATTTGTCAAAAAACGCCACTATTCCTTGAGATAAATATAACTTTTCATAAAAAATTCATATGCGACGAAATAATTGGAACAAAATTTTTTTGAATATTTAATGATTTCATGTCACTTATTCAAAAAAAAAAGAAGAAGAAAAAACTGGACCCTGGTGAATGGATATACAGTACCATTATTCTAGGAAAACAGAAAGCGCGAATGATCTAAAATTTTACATGTAAGATATACGCTAAGGGATAATTAATCTCGAGAAATAATTTGCAGTTGTCATGCAACCTCATTTATGTCCTTTCACACTTAGTATGTAATATCACTTTTCAGAACAACTGAAGGCATAATTTGAAGCAAGATACAAATATATATGATTTCGGGACCATAAATGGAGGTTATTCTCTGAATAACACAATCTTATATAAAGTGGTGTAACTACCACAGACCGTTCCAATTCTGTACTCCACTATCTTCGTTTTTCACATGTGTGTATTGTTACTTGTTTTGATTTCTGCATATTTTGTAATGTCTATTTTATTGAATTGTCGTTAACGCTATTCCTCCCCCTTTCCCCCATTTTTTATCCACATCCATTTTTCCCTAAGATTGTTCTTTAATTCCCGTATGGAGCCGTTTTAGTTTAATATATTATTTCACATCATGATGTATTTGACCTAATGCACAAAAACAGTTTTCTATAAATATTTTAATAACACCGATTACAGTAAGTAAGCGTCACTAATATATTGCCTTAAAACTATGGTACAGATAGAAAAAAATATCAATAAATATAATCAATAATATAAATATTACAATGGTACTCATAACAAGAAATATATAAATTAATATTATATTACCTATATTTTCTCTCTTCACAGAACTTACAAAATAATATGTTATGTCTCATGCAATACAATGAACTCTCAGTTTTATTTTTCTCCCACATGCCTTGTCGCTCTCCAGCCTTACTGATACCATCTGTAAAAAAGAAAAACTATAAATCAAATGAGATTTAAACAAGATGAAACCGAGGCCCAAGTAATTTAAGATATTGCTATAAAAAGTTTTAATTTCCGTCAATAGCACAAATAATACAAAGCAGACATGAAATCTGCGCACTAAACATCATCTCTACCGAGTATTTTCAAGTTCCTTCAAGCAGTTGAAAGGTACATAACGGAAACGGAACGACATTGATAACAGAGGGACGGACGGTAAGGTCCCTAAAAACATTTCTGGACTTTGACAATGAAACTTGAAATGTGTTCAATAGACAAAGATGCCCCCAAACTCCACTGCCTACTGATGTACAGTACTGTATGAGATGAAAGGAAAGTCTACATGATCTCTCTACCTACCCCTAAGTGGTAGGCGTAAAAATGACATTCAATTTTGTCACAAAGTACGCCCGTCACAATAGCTTTGGACAGAGATCACCGAGTCCAATCGTTCACTATGTTTCCCAGGCGGAGAACGCATGAAGAGATCAATTTTACAGGTGGAAAACCGATACTGTGGTAAGAAAATTGTCTTCAATTTCTTTGAAAATGCATATTTCACAAAACTTTATAGCCTATTCTGATCTCGTATGATTACTTTTATCCGACAGGCATCTCAAACTCGCCAAAATCTTTGTTAACTTTATTAGATCATTATCGACAACTGCACAAGGAAAAGTCACAAAAATTGGTTTTAAAATCGCTCTTTTGATAGCCCCAAACTTTGACATCCAAGCAAACTTCTTAACATTTGTATCGCTCTAAAGGTTCTTTTATGAACATATATCCTCATCCACCAAAAGCCTCTTCTATTTTATTCCGTATTTTTTTGGAGTATAATATCGTTTAAGCGAATTTTCAACATGAACGCATGAGCAGAACTTTGCATGTGGTTTCATCAGATTGCAAAATGAACGCATGAGCAGGCGGATTTTTTGGTTACTCCAGTTTTCATGGATATCTCACATGTTATCGATCACTGAACCTTTAAATTCCAAAATTTTCGTTCCAAATGTTTGAGCAAACAGAAGTTCCTATTTTCATACCTTATGACAAATTGCTTATACATGTTATAAGCAATAGATGAAGGTCTGTTCAGTTCTGTGAAAATATAATAAATTCTCATTGCTAAAATTTGAGTAAAATGTTTTCAAAATACAATATCATTGGTTGATGATACTTAAATTTCCTGTATGTTATAATCTCCTGTGACTCAAAATTTTATGTTCTTATATGAAAAATCTTTGGCTTAAATAAAGAATTAACAATGTTAAATGTTAAAGAAAACCTTTTTGATAAGGATGTTGCCAAAATTTAAAATTTCCGATAATATAAGGAAATAATTAGAAATCTGTTTTTGGTAAAAAAAAATCAGTTTTGCATTCAAATAAAAATTTCCAACCTATTTTCCTCAAGAAATATCATATAATGTGTTTAATAATGTCAACTTCTTAAGTATATATTTTTCATAAGAACTGACTTTATATTCAACTTACGCAAGGATGTTACATCCTTAAAAATAACATACAGGATCTTTAAGCAAGAATATATATATCACCTTCCTGACAACAAAATGAACATACAAGAAAATGTTGAAATAACACATATTATTTTAAGGTTCATTATAAGTTTTTCTTTTAGAAATAATACACATTTT